AATTTGTAGATTCGATTAGAGTACGATCGTCGGAGAATTTTTAAAATTAGCATATTATCGAAATTCAAATTTATTGTGATTTTGCCCCTATTTGGTGGAGATTAAAATCAAATTTTTAGTAAATTTTGATAAAAGTTAAACAGTTATGGATTTTATGAAATATGTTATTTAAGTTAAACAGTTATGGATTCTATGAAATATGTTATTAAAATTAATTATGAACTTTGATTTAGATTAAAATTTAGATTTCAATCGATACCAAACATGATTTTTAAAAAAAAAATCTCAAAAGTTGGGGACATGTGCCCCCCTTGAGGACCCTCGGGTCCGCCAATGACGGGATCTGTAGCTCACTCTCGTTTTATGATTAAGCGGCCGTTTGGATTATTTCATAAATGCGTAGTTGACAAAGAAATAGAAAAAAATAAATTATAATTTTTATGGGAGTCGGGACAAAATTTAGGTGAAAATCTAACCTCACACTTTATTTTTAATAAAATACTAAGTCTCTATTTGGTACAATTTAAAATCTAATTTTAATCTCAAATAGAAGTCAATAATTAATTTTAACAACACATTTCATGGTCTCACAACCTCTCAATCACACATTTAATCATTTTTTTATCAAAATTTACTAAAAATCTGATTTTTAATCTACAATAAATCGGTCATAAATATCTACTCATTTTCCATTATCCTTTATCCGTCCTCACCCTTGTCCTCGAATCATCATCCTAGCAAGTTAATTTTACTCAAATTTGACAAACTATTTGGACGAGACCTATTTATGTCTAATGAATGAGAAATTAAAGTTAAAAACTAAACCTCTTGAAATTTGAAACATATTGAATAGGGTTGCATCTCATATTCGAAAATAGAAGGTCACTTGACAACTTAAGCTCAAGTTTCACAATTGATTTGAGCTCCCTGAGATATCACTAGTTCCTAGGGAATGAAAATGACTTCTATTTTATTTTATTTTATTCGATCCAAATAGGAGGGATTAAAATTAGATTTTTAATGGATTGTGATAAAAAAATTTGAAATGCATGGTTAAAAAAAATATGGGACCCATAAAAGATGTGGTTAATATTGATTGTTTGACTTTGACTTGGATTAAAATCAGATTTTAATCCGACCCAAACATGCCCGCAACTTTTCAACAATTATAAATAGACCACGTGTCTTAAGAACTCCATTCATTCTCGTGCATCCTACATAAATGTATAGTGTAGTACGGGAATCGTATTTTAGCCCAAATAATTCTGCAACTTCATCAAGGCCGTAGGCGTTAACATGAGATGGGGTCGTGTTCTTTTCCATCCACAAACAATCGAGTTGATATTCGAATGCACGTGGACTGTGAACAAGTAATTGTGTGATATCCAAGTTCTATCTGCACTCCTGCCATTTGAAACTAAGTAGAAGAGAAAATCTCTTTCTGAGCTGAAAGGAGTGCATCAAAACTGGGTTTTCGATCCAAAATTTACATTGCAAGCCATGGACAATCAAGATTTTATGTTCTCCCGAACAAGCATGTACCATATTTATAATAAGTCAAAAAATCTGCTATTGAACAGTGTCAGTATTAACCTTTCCTGGTAATGGTGGGTAAACCAGTAACCCACCATTTCCTAAAACAATCAGGTTAATCTACAAAACTTCAGTGGTTAGACAGGAGGATAAAAGTACGAAGACAGGGAGAAACCAAGGAAAAGCAATCCCCCAACAGTTGCAACAGTGCGCTGCGAGATCTTTGAAGCCAACATGCTTCCACCGATTACAGCTAATGATGTACAAATGGTGTGTCCTATAATGGCTCCAACAGCAACTCCCACCGCATTTTTGTGTGTAGCTAGCTGTAGAAAAGAAAAAAACAAGCAAAATATTAATACTAACCACCATGTCCATAGCTCAAGTTTTTGAGAAGGGACATTTATTTACTTAATTTAGTCATCAACACACTGCCGCGAGCAAGACAGTCATTCAATTTTTATCCAATACGTGCACAATTTTCAATGGATGTGATGAAACTTGCACTCAGGATCTCTCCTCTTCTGATACCGAGTTGAAGCCCTCAACTAAATGCTTAAAGGACAATATTCGTTTAAATTTTGTCTTTGACAAAGAAACCTCACATTTTTTTTTTGATAAGTAATCATGTAATTTTATAAATCAAAAGATAATACACGAGAAGTGCATTATCAATTTAAACAAGATAGGAACAACAAGAAATTTGGCAACCCTTCTACCGGACTAATAGTTGCAGCCTTAAACCAACTATACAAAGTGAAGTAAAATAATTTTCTAAACTGTTCTGGCGTCCGTGTTACATTTTCAAAGCATCGACTGTTTCTTTCTCTCCACACACACCAAACAAGGCATCCTGGAATGAGATCCCAAGCAATCTTGCTATTCTTGTCTCGAAACTTTCTCTTCCATGCCCATACCACCTCCCCAATATGCCTTGGAAACACCCAACTCATCTGTTGTGAAGCCAAAATATCGTTCCACAACCAACAAACACCTTCACAATGAATGAATAGATGGTCAATCTCTTCTCCATCCATCTTACACATATAGCACCATTCAGTTATATAACAACCTTTTCGTCGAAGGTTATCTGCCGTTAACACCTGCCCCCTCACGACCGTCCACAGTAAAAATGCCACCCTTG